ATTGAAGTTAATACAAGAATCAATAAACAAGCCGTTCAAACGCAAAATAGTTGAAAATCGCACTGATGTAGACGTCTAAATCAGCTGAGAGTACATCGATGTTGAAACTGAAAAGAGAGAGGATAAATATCTCGATTGCAAAGTTGGATAATTTCGAAGGCGCCAACTTAATATTTCAGGCCTATTCTGCCATCTCGGATTTTTTAATTTTGAAAAGTTTACTAGAAATTCGACTTTTACAGAAAAATGTACCCTCTGGCTTCAAAGTTTTACATTAATCGATGAAACAGAAGGCAGACAGCATTTTACGTCAAATTCACCGTATTTGATTTTCGAATACAAAAATATGAGTTGAAAGTTTCGCGTCAAAAATGGCCTCAGGTGCCGAGTTCCCCAAAAATCGATTTAACAGTAGCCGCAAATCGTGGGATCAGTAGAACTGTGCTTAAAGGTAAACAATGTAGGTCAATTTACGTACGTTAGGGCGCCTTCATTTTAGTCTGATACTGTGCAATACTTCTATGGCGGAATAGTTGCTCAGAGCGCCTTTAAGAATATCGCTTCGACTTGATGGCGGAAGATCACACTTACCGCTGAAAGTGTGCTTCGTGTGCAGTAACACATTTTCTCATCACCAGCAGTGAGGTATAAACATGCATACCTCAATTTGCGACGTTGAAGGGTTTTGTACTTCTCAATTTAAGTGTGTAAACTTAAACGTACGCTTTAAAATCCGCAGATTTTTTCAAGATAAGATGAAAAATAAATTTCCAATATTTCATTCACGCCAATTTGTACGATTTCTCAAAAAATAAGAAAATACTAAAGGAGAAACGATATGAGGAACAAACGCATAATCATGCGCACTTTATATCATTTGAAATGGATAATGCCGAAGTATTGAAAAAGCACCAATACGAAATGAATATAAGCTCGCTTTTATGTCATGAAAAGATTATGAGCTTTGATTATAATCCTCCCAATGATCAAAGAGAGAAAATAAGAAATAAAGGAACGAAAGGTTAATGCGAAAATAAATATTGAAATGAATAAATGGTGAGTTTGAAGGTATGTAACATCATAAGCACACGTCCCTTTCATATTTGTTGATTTTTTTATCCAAAGTGAATAAACCCATTTGATTCATGGTATTCTCCTATTTGCTGTTTTTATCTGAGCCCAGTACCTGGCTCTCGCCTCTCAGCATAATTATGCAAATTCAATGGCGATTTTGCAGGGTGTTAACAATGTCCTCCTCCATTTATATCTTTTACAAATATCAATTCTAGGTAAGTTAAAGAATTGATTGTTTTAAATATACATTCGCATGGAGAAAAAACAGTGTTGCTGGCTTTACAGAATTGCCAGTGTGGAAATAGAGTAACATTATCAAATATAGCGGCTAAATCTGACAACAACACATGGTAAGTTGTTCCTGAACTTGTTGAGCTAAAGTACGGACGCTTGCTTGGCACTTCAGAACGTGGCTGAGGGATAGTATTTACATCAACTAGCCCAATTCAACGATCCGATGGCAAATCGATAGTTGCCAAGTCAGGCATATGCAATATTTCACTGTACCGTGAAATTGTATGATACACCCCTTCATAGCTTACGTGGCGGTCAAATGGAGCGCATTTAGCGAAAGGAACCGGCGCAAGTACAGCGTTGTAAAAATGTTGTTCCTTCACTATTATCTGAAAAGCATCCTAGAATAGCGAATAGTTTTGGCTTTCCACCAAAAAATTGTTAATTTTAAAGGGAAATACCTGTGTAAATTTTTATACTGTACATATACTAAGTATTTTTGAAAAGAGATGGAGAAGTTGCACGATTTTGAAAACACTGCAATTTCGCTGGTTCCTTTTTGCTAAATGCGATTCGATTAATGATCATTTATAGAATACTTAAACTTTAAATTATTTACGCTTATAACTTTGGCGGACGAATTTAAACAGAAGCAGAGTAAACAAATCATTAGTTGCGCAACACAGTAGTGTTGCAGCAATGTAACTATAAAAAAAAATTGTTGATAATCGCAAGAATTCCGGAAACTTTTATTTTTGTAAAAATATGATTGTAATAATATATGGAAAACACAAACAAATAAAGATTTGCGTCCCTCCAAGATGAAGGTTCTGCTTACAATACCGTATACTGGAACACAGTCACGAAATCTCACGTAGAGAACACAATGTACGCGTAACGTGGTCGGTTCAAGTGGCTCGGAAATGTCCAAGAATAATATATCCCAAAGGTATTCTATGAACATTTTTTGACTGTATGTAAAAATAATCATGAAATATATTTTCTTACATTTTAATTTTTGTTTCAAAGAATTTGGGCTTAAAAAAGAAACTATGCGATTATTTAGATTTAAAACCAAAAATGAAAAACATTTTTAACATTTCAAAAGCAGCGGGTTTTCAGGACTAGGATTGCCCATGTTGTCATTTAAAATTGCTTTAAATCACGTTTAAATTCTTCGTTAAAACTTTTCTGTTCAAATATCAAAATAAAATATTTTTAAAAGCGAACTTGTTTATGGTATGCAATGGATTGTAGACTTACGGTCGGCAACTCACGAGAGACCCTATAGCTGTGGAGTGGAGTTATTGATCGATTGTCGATATTTCCCTCATTTGAAGCTGTGGTAAAGAATCGATTATTACTTAGGGTTAAATGGTAGATCAATCGATATGTCGCAAAGCACGCCGCGCGCGCCGCTGCCCATCGGGAGCCGTAGTTAGTCCATAATTTTCCTCCTCAGTATATGACATTCTCCCGATTTCCCCTTTCAACCAACTGAATCAAACCATTTCACTGAAAAAAAATATAGTAGATTTGACCATACTCTGACACAGCGATACAAGTATGGTAATAGACACCAGACTCTATAGTAGCATTTATCATATCATATATGGTAAGAATCACCAGATTTCTGGTGATTACTACTATATTTCTGATTATTTTCTCCAAATAGCATCATTGTGTAAAAAACCAAGTAGACTAATAATCAGTAAATATAACAAGGTAGAGAAATGGTGCTGGGTCCACACCTCGCGGGGAAAACAAAGCCAAGAAGTTCCAAAAATTGTAATGAAAGTCAAAATTAAATTTTTTGAACTCTAATGCGTACCAGTACGAAACTGAGGGGGGAGAGGGACTCCAACTTAATATTCCAATGCAAACTGCCTAAGCTGAACACTCCCCCCCCCCTCAGTTTCGTACTGGTACGCATTAGAGTTAAAAAAAATTTAATTTTGGGTCTAATTATAATTTTTAGAACTTCTCAGCTTTGTTTTCCCCACGAAATGGTGTGGACCCAGCACCATTTCTCCACCTTGTTACATACAGTTTCAGGCCACTTCTTAGTGTTTTACTTTTTCACTAATAGTAAATGTTACCACACTTCTGTTCAGTGTTTCCCTTTGTCTCCTTTGTTCATAGCTGTGTCTATTAGTTTGAGTAAGGAGGTAATCTAGAGGTTGCAACGCCGCGCGGAGTTGCCCGTTGAAACGATGGAGAATGGCGCTCGGCCGCTGCGATTATGTTCAAACACAGCGGAGCTCCCGCCAAGGGCTCGTTTACTTTCCGTGAGTAGACCCACCCGCCGCGAATTAAAAGACCATCTCGGGATACCTGCCAATATTACCATTCGAGCCTCGAGCCATGCACGCAATCTGTCGACTGCAGCCGGGTATTTCGCCCGCAGTTCCCCCTCGCCCCGCTCCCCGTTGAAATCATCCCCTTCCGTTCGCCCTCCGCCCCCCCACTTCACCCCTAATAATTCCGATCTCCTCCTAAAATGTGTTTAATTGCGCAACGATCCTTGATTCTGACCTCTAACTCAATGAGTTCCCTTCGGTGCCTGTAATCTGGAACGAAAATTACTTGTATTTGAGGGAGACGCTATCGACGACTACGGTCAAAGGGACGCCTTCAATTTTTTGCACATGCAACACGGACAGCCCTTGAGCACGAATAGTTGTATCCAGGAGTTACATGCCTGATTATTTGTGCTAAGGGTGTTCATATCGACCATGAAAGTCGAAAACCGCGGATTTAGCTTAGCAGCGTTGCAGATATGGGCGAAACTAGGGAGAAGGCAGCCTTCTTAAGCATAGGAAAGACATAAGAAATGTAATGAATGTGCGGTCGATCCTAATATAAACGATAAAAAATGTCAGGAAATGAAAATTTCTCGCGAGGAGAGCAGCTTCCGTTTCTCTTCAGCAAACGATTAAGGAACGTAGAAAGCAGTTCGACTGTATCTGGTTGTGAACTCTCATTTAAGTGAAAGCCTGAAATAATATTGCTACGTCTCTTATTTTTATGAGCGATAAATTAAAATCGATTTTATTAAAACCCACAGTAAGGTATGGTGTTTTCGAAAAACAAGTCAGCGAAAATTCTGTCATGTGTAATATGTATTTCAATGTGCTTGTCTTTGAGAATCGCTTAAAATTGCTCTCAATACGTCTTCTGTGCCCTCCCCCCCCTCTCCGTTGAGAAAATTCCAAAGTTCCACCGATGGTTGCACCGATTTGATTCCTATCATTACTTTATCTTTTTGAGACACAACTAACGATAAACAGTTGAAAAGGAGTTTGCGCGCACTGAAAAACCAGTTACGCTCGTAATTTGTTGCGATTTTGGTAATATATTGTGAGACCGTGTCCATGCCAAGGTCTCTATGGATATCTGAATTTCTTTAATGCCACCGTGCTCCGACTATTAGTCGAAGGGTGCGGTTTTGAACTCTTCGTATTATTTCTGTATCAGACCCCCCTCCCCAGATCTAAGCTCCGTATGCACATGTGGGACGTATGAATTGTTTGCACAAAAGTAACTTATTTTTATACTTAGTGGCGATTTCCTGCCTATTGGCCATTAGAGCTTCTTGAGTTTATATGTACATTCATCTTTTTTAACTTTAATATATGTTTATTAATGTACATAGTATAGACGTGTCTAAGCAACATGTTCGACTGTTGCAGATTTCCGGAGATTGCACTCGGTCTACTGCCGCAGTGGAGACGATGGAGGCAGGAACTCTGGAAGACGGAGACGAAAACAACCACGAAACTCATCGCATCCCTTCTGATCCTGCAATGAAAACCTTTGACTCCAAGAATCAAGCATCCTCAGCAGACTTAGATCGGTTCAAATCTTACTTAGAAACGCCAAAGAAGCAGAGGCTGTGACTCTGAGGGGAAAACCAAATAAATTGAGCACTTGGAAGGCGCCCAATTTGCAAAAGCTGCAAACGATGGGCTAACGAAAATGGAACCATAGCATACAACGATCGTTTCATTTCGTGCCCCTTCTCGCAACAAAAATATACTACTTCTTCATCAAGAGCTAATTTTCTCTCCATCTTGAGTCTCCATTCGGGAAGTCGAAAGTAATCGGATCCAGAGTGACGGACTCAGTCAAGAAAATAGTTTACTCTTATAGATACACGTATTTAAATACAATTTTTGTGACGATAAGTTACAATTCATTCAAACAAAGCTCCAATTTTACTGCCACTTAAACGTAAAAAATTGCGATTTTTATTCGGACTTAATTAAAATCTTGGTTTTGGAGGGTTTCACTGTCAATGAACTTGCGAAAATCCACCAATTGAAATGCAAATCATTATGATCATTAATTTTTGAGGTAGCCTGAAAAATTCTCATGCGATATTTACTCCGTTGAGGAATATATGCTACATCGAGACTTGCCGCATAGCTAATACTGAGTTAATAGATCCGTGAAAAAACACTCAACTATAGAAATAGTTTACTCGTCGTCCTGCTACATAGCCTACGGTAGACCTGGCTAATAATACACTCATTCGAAAGGTAGTTTTGATTGAGGTTCATTGTGTGACAGTGAGCTAACGGATCCACAGTTGAAGAAATAGTCGACCATTCAACTGCCACGTTCCCTGCACAAAACTATAATCCTTTGAGGATACGGAATGAATCGTGTGTAAAGTGGTGAAACGAGGGCTGCATAATGTCAAGGAGCTGAAAGGGCAGTCGACCCGGCAGTTTAATTGTCGTCCTGCTACGTAGCCTACGCTAGACCTGGCCAATCATACACTCATTCGAAAGATAGCTTTCATTGCGGTTTATCGGGTGACTCATTGTGAGCTAACGGATCCGCAGTGAGGCACTCAGTTGAAGAAATAGTCGACCCAAAAACCTAACTGTCAAAAAAATATAATCGCTCAAAGATACCGAACGAATCGTTCGTAAATTAGTGAAACGAGGGTTGCATAATGTCAAGGAGCTGAAACGGCAGTCGACCCGCCAGTTTACTTGTCGTTCTGCTACATAGCCTACGCTAGACATAGCCAGCAATACACTCATTCAAAAGATAGTTTTGATTGAGGTTCATTGTGTGACTCAGAGTAAGCTAACGGATCCGCAGTTGAAGAAATATAGTCGCTCCCTCAACTGTTTCAAAAATATAATCGCTCAAAGATACGGAGCGAATCGTGCGTAAATTGGTGAAACGAGGGTTGCATAATGTCAAGGAGCTGAAAGAGCAGTCAACTCGGAAGTTTACTCGTCGTCCTGCTACGTAGCCTACGCTAGACCTGTCCAATTATACACTCATTCGAAAGGTAGTTTTCATTGAGGTTTATCGGGTGACTTATACTGAGCTACGAATCCGCAGTTGAAGAAACAGTCGACTCTTCAACTGTTTCAAAAATATAATCGCTCAAAGATACGGAGCGAATCGTGCGTAAATTGGTGAAACGAGGGTTGCATAATGTCAAGGAGCTGAAAGAGCAGTCAACTCGGAAGTTTACTCGTCGTCCTGCTACGTAGCCTACGCTAGACCTGTCCAATTATACACTCATTCGAAAGGTAGTTTTCATTGAGGTTTATCGGGTGACTTATACTGAGCTACGAATCCGCAGTTGAAGAAATAGTCGCCCCCTCAACTGTTTCAAAAATATAATCGCTCAAAGATAGCGAGCAAATCGTGCGTAAATTGGTGAAACGAGGGTTGCATAATGTCGCGGAGCTGAGAGAGCATTGAAGACGATGGGCTGGAACGAGAGCGAGAGCGAGGGTTGCCCGGAGGAGGTGGTGGTGTTCTACAACGACACGCTGCCGATCCCTTTGGCGGTGCCGCTGTTGGAGGCGGTGGCGACGACCATCGTCCTGGGCCTCATCATCCTGCTCACGGTCGTCGGGAACATCCTGGTCATCCTCAGCGTCTTCACGTACCGCCCGCTGCGGATCGTCCAGAACTTCTTCATCGTCTCGCTGGCCGTGGCCGACCTCACGGTGGCCCTCCTCGTCATGCCGCTCAACGTCGCCTACAACCTCCTCGGCCGCTGGGTCTTCGGCATCTACCTCTGCAAGATCTGGCTCACCTGCGATGTCCTCTGCTGCACCGCATCCATCCTCAACCTCTCGGCCATCGCGCTCGACAGGTAAGAAAAGCCAACATCCTCAGAGACACTCTCAACATCTCGTCACCTTCCAGGCAAAGTATCTTAAGCGCCATGCGACGTTTAAAAATTTCCACCGCCATTTTATTTCTTTACTGAGAAATTGTTGGTTGAATCCGTTTGGGAATTTCACTAAATTTTATCGGCAGTACAAAGAAAATTCAGTGAAATTTTTGGACAGCTTCGTTGAGCGATTTCTCTGTAAAAAAAATAAAATGGCGGCGGAAAGTTTTAAACGTCGCATGGCGCTTGTGATACTTTGCCTGGAAGGTGACGATCTCTCAACACTCTCTAGAAAAAATGGACGTGTTTCTATTAAACAGAACTAAGCGCCGTCGAGGGAGGAAGGGAGAGGGGGGCTTGGATTGGCGGGTGTTGTGGAACGCGTTGCTCGTTCCGTCCTATACTCGCAATGCTTTTCCATGGCGCTTAGTTCCGTTTGACAGAACGCGCTAATCAGGATTCTAAAATCCTCAAAAGGAACTCAATTTGGCGCTTAGTTCCGTTTAACAGAATACGCCTAAATGGACCACTAGCCAAGGTACGAATTTAAGCATCGCCGAAAAAAAAAGTGAAGTTGATTCAGCATTCTAGATGTAAAAAAAGTGCGCGAGAACTTGTAAAATGCTGAATTGCCCGCTACAGCAGTTATTTGAGCAATGCCAAGATGTAAAACTTACCGCTGAGGCGGGTAACTCAGCATTTTATGAGTTCTAGCACAGTTTCTGTTATATACATTACGTTAAATAAACTTATTCACTTATTTTTTTCGCTGCATGTTTCGTAATCAGATTTTAACGTAATACACGATTCTTGCATTGAAAATTACTGAAAGCAATTCCTAGTTGAGATATTAACGTATTTATTCTACATTGGTAACGAGAAATTTGAATTCCCCCCTCACAAGAAACTCAATAGTCTACGTGAGTCAAATCGAGCAATACCACGGTTTTGGCAGGCTCCTCAATCAAACATTGTTCATTTCCCACCCTTTACTGTTCAAAGTGTAAACAATTTGCTATAGCTGAGCCAAAGCGTCAAAATTGAGATTGCCATATTTTCGCATCGCAGAGACTGCCACGGTAACGTTTAGTTTGCGATCTGACATACCGTCACCTCTCTGACGTAAGGGCGTATCTCAATTCTCGCATGAGCCCCAGAAAGCATGGATCTAAATGTGAAACAGGGCTCACGTGGAAATCAAGATACGCCCTTACGTCAGAGGGGCGACGATACGTAGGTCTTTGTGTTTTATGAGCGGTAGGTTTAAATTCACACGTCAAGAAACATTAAATACCTTGGTTTTGAGTCAAAGTCAGTGATTTTCGATGCACGGATCGTGTTTTCCGTTAAATTTTGGTCGAGGAACATGTATCGGAATGCTTAACTTTGTACCTTGTCTAGTGGTTCATTGTCAAGGTCGTCCAAAAATGACACTGCGCTGAAACACGGAATTTTAGATCCCTTTGCTTCATGCCCAACGATCTAGAGACTACAGATACTGTGATCATATGCTACGTCAACGGTGAATTTCGGATCACACCACGGCCCAGGGGCAACAAATAGGCTAGGACCAGGATAGTCAGTTTTCGTGGTTTTTTATGGGACTGTTGCTGAATTAACTTATTCCAAATTCAGAAAGAACTGTTCGAATATCTGTGTCCAGATATAAAATGAGAGGCTTGCAGGACAAGGTGCATATATGCAGTTTTTACTATTTCGAGGAATCCGTGTTTAAAGTCTCGAAATTACATGGATCCTTGTGGCGGAAAGGAAGTTCAAACTATTTTTTCAATGCTTAAAAATCGGCGTTCGGGAGCGAATTTCTCACAGAATATGTAGTAAGACTAGAATTACTCGAAATCATTGATGTCTCAATTTTTTTCAAAAACTGCACTTATGCGTATTGTCCTCCAAGCCCCTCAAAGCTGGCCATGCTTCAAGTGAGTTTCCGATACTAATTTCAACGCTAAATCATTTATTGTGGGAGCTCCCGTAAGATCCCATGTAATTGAGGTTATGAGGAGAATAGTAATTGGACAGCCCCACTCTCCGTCTGCCTATCAAACCACCGCTCCATGATTTTTCGTAGGCCACTACCAATCTACAGTTTGTGTATCGTTGTTCGTGTCACGTAGGTTTACACCCATTTTCCTCCCTCTCCCCATTCATGCATGACACCCCCCCCCTCCCCTATGGTTTCATTCTACCAAGCTCCCATCATGGAAGCTCTGTTTCTTCCCGAGGTCTAGAGGAGCTAGATTGATTTGACATTTATAGAAGTTTTTAGTCCGAAATGTTTTTGTGCGATACACAACAACAATTAATTCAAACGGCGCACACTTAATCGAGTCAATTAGAGGGGTCGGACATGAAATTTTTGACAAAAACTACAAATTTTGATGTTTATTTCTTCACATTTAAAAGTTCAAGGGGTGCTTCTAGAAGCGAATTCCACAGGGAATCCAATGGAACTACTTTTAGAACATCAAAGTTTCGTATAAACGGAGTTACGAGCGTTTAAAGTTTCCAAATTTTGTCCGACCTAGCTTATCGACTCGATCCACTGTGCAGCGGGTAACTAGGATTTTTTACACGAATGCCACCAAAACGTTCCGGCTGAAAATGAAGCCTTCCTAAGTTGGATAAAAAACAGTAAAAAATTTAAAAATATAAAATCTTAGTACTCGGCTGTACTTTTAAAACGAAAAGAATGGTCTTATGAAAAAATAAGGGGACCATACAGCCGTGCCAAGGAAAAACGCCGTATGAACATTCGAGAGTTGCCAAATTTCCTACAATAAAATGCTTTTTTTTGAGGACAATTATAAATATTTTTCTTTGAAATTTTCAGAAGTTTTAGATCAAATTACAAACAAAATTATCTGAGAAATTGGTAGAAATATATTAAAAAAAAATTCTGAAAATTAGCAATTTGCCAGGAGAAATTTGGCAACGCCTGAAGGCTCATACGGCGTTCTTCCTTAGCACGGCAGCATAGACATGGTCCTCCATGTTTTTGAATGAAATTGAACAGATAGATTAAGAGATACGGCTGTGCACAGAAAGAGAGTACGCCTGACGGACAGACACACATTCTTTGTAATTCGATTGGTAGTTTTGACCGCAGGCACCTTAAAACGCATAGAGATGATGAGATTTCAACTTTCTTTCTTTCTTTTTTTTCTTGGGCGATGACAATACTTCCTCTACCCGCAAGGGAAGCGAGAAAGTAATAATTTATTACACCAATGTGTATCTTATCGTGGGCTGCGAAGCGCCCAACATGTCTCGTTTCTTATAAGTCACGTGGTCAACAGTCCCGTGGGACTCAATTTCCCGGAAATTGGCATTCAGGTTCCTTTTCCCGTCACGCACAGAAAAGAATGATCAATGTCATTTTATAGATTAGGCATCAATAATACCCTCATTCAACAAAGAGGGCCTTCAGCGTGGGCGCCTTCAGATCTTAGAGTATGCAACGCGGACATCCTTCGAGCCCGAATAGTTGCGTCCAGGCGCTGACCTAAGTTGCACAGCATTCGTTCCGTTTTTCAAGGTACCATTTAAAAGCCTGAACTCGAGGTTAATCTTAAAGCAGGGGAGGATAGACAGTCTACCCAGTACCAGCCCGTATACTAACAAACGCACCTTCAATTAGTACCTTGAAAAACGAAACGAATGCTGTGCAACTTAGGTCAGCGCCTGGACGCAACTTTTCGGGCACGATGGATGTCCGCGTTGCATACTCTAAGATCTGAAGGCGCCAATGCTTACTTTGTCCCAGCGGCGATGTGAAGCTTGATATCTTATCGGCGCTGTTAATTGTTCACCAGGAGGCTACGCTCTCTGACCGCTTCGCGGTCCAGTCCTCCGAGGCGCTTCGCGCTTGCGTTATGCGTTCCTCTTACGATTTTATTTTATAGAGTAAGAATAGTCTTAATGGACCTCTAATACTTACTCATATTAACCGATCTGGAACTAAAGAGGAATCTAATTGAGTCTGGACGTGTGGAAACTACTAATTTCACACAATACTCCTGATTCAATCTGATTTTATCTTGAATCGAAGAGCCAAGCCTCTTGATTTAGATGGATCTCCCTTTGATTCAAGCAAAAAGTCCGATTGAATCAAGAGTATTTTTTTCTTTATAATGTTTTTAAGAGTCTGGGCTCTACATCCAAGCGGCTTTGTTTCGGTGTAAATCCGATTTCCTAAATTTTCGATAAATGTTCCGATTTTTTTCAAAAGTTTCGGGATAAAATTTCGAGTGACAACCGGATTAAGTTCCAAAAATTTTCAAATTTGATAAAAAAAAAAAAACCAAAAAACCAAATTTAATCTGATAATTGGTCGAACCCCAAAAACCCCAAACTCAGAGAAAATTCAGTTAATAACTGGGAATTCCGGAATATTCCGGGATTTCGAAGCTTCTTAGTGAAGTTCCGAGAAAAGTTTCAAAATTTGGAATTAATTCCAGGAAATGATAGCACTGGGTTAGTGGCATCCGATGATTCATATTATTTACGAGGAGTGTCCTTTGTTGCAGGTACTGGGCCATCACTGACCCGATCAACTACGCGCAGAAGCGGACTGTGAAACGGGTCAACGGGATGATCGCAGCTGTCTGGGTTCTATCGGCAGTCATCAGCTCGCCCCCGCTGGTCGGTTGGAACGACTGGCCGGACGAGTTTCACAGGGATACGCCCTGTCGGCTCACTAGTCAACGGGGCTACGTCATCTATTCGTCGCTAGGATCCTTTTATATTCCGTTGCTCATCATGACGATTGTCTACGCCCAGATTTTCATCGCCACTCGCCGGAGGCTTCACCAGAGAGCCATGGCTTCCCGACTGGGGGCCAGTCAGCTCTCTTCAAAGTATAAGCCTGGCACTAATGACGCCCAAGTGAGTATATATGTCGAAGGCAATCAGTCAAATCAGGCATTTTATCAAATGCCTAGGTCGGTAGTCAAATTTTGACAGTTTACGGAATGGACCATTAGACAAGGTACGAATTCCAGCATTCTGATACATGTTTCTTGACTAAAATTTCACGTAAAACACGATGCGCACAACAAAAATTACCGAAATCAACTCCTTACGAAGATATTTAATGATTCTTAATGCGTGAATTCAAACCACCCGCTCATGAAAACTCAATGCTCTACGTGATTCACATCGCGCGCTAAACATTATCATGACAGTCTTTGCGATTTAAAAAGCTGGCAACCTCAATCTTGACGCTTTGGCTCAGTTATAGCAAATTGATAATAGTTTGAACAACACATTGTGGGAAATGAACATTGATCGATTGAGAAGATTGCTGAAACCGTTGTAGTTTCTTGTGAGCGGGCAGTTCAAATTCCTCGTAACCATTGTGAAATAAAAATGTTAATAGCTTCGTTAGGAGTTGGTTTCAGTAATTTTCGTTGCGCGAATCGTGTTCTACGTGAAATTCTGGTTAAGATACATGTATCAGAATGCTTAAATTCGTACCTTGTCTAGTGGTCCATTCTGTAAATTTATGACGAGGAGTTCTCGGGTGTTCAATATTTTGGGAAGACTAACTCCTCAAATCGGCGAACTCTCCCTCTTCCTTCCTTCCTACATGTCTCTAGTACTATTGTCTATTTAGCTATAGCTCTAGACTATTTGCCTTCGACATATACGCAAATCTGCCATGATAGCCAAGAGAGCCGTAAGTCACAAATTTTCGAAATCGAGCTTCCTTCAAAATTCGGCTGATCTCTATCAGATGAAACCACTGAAATAGCCCATTAAGCTACATTCGTCTTATTTTGTATGAAAACTAGGCACATGAGAAAGCCGTGGGTGCGCAGGAAATGACGTAGTTTCAAGTATAGCTCTAGCATAGCCGAACCTGAAAATGTGTTTGTTGTGTGTCCAAAACGCAACCGCAACAGCATGCAGAAGATAAAAATTACGGCTACCTTGTCTAACAGTGATAGGTTCTAACACTAGCCCAATATGAACATTAATAGTATATCCTTTCTTTATAATTGAAATTGAAATATTGAGCGATTTTTTTAGCTTCAGAGGAGGGTCCATCGCAAAAATATGAAAAAATTAGTCATCTCAGGAGCAATTATGCGCCATTTCCATCAGAAATTTTATCAAATAACAATTTCAAAGATGAAAATGTGTCATGCACTTACTTAACAGAGTTCTTGGAAGGGGCCGAGTATAGATGCCAGAACCGCCATGCTAGGGAAGAACGCCGTATGAACCTTTAGGCGTCCCCAAATTTGCTTTGATTAAATATGCATTTATTGAGAGAGTTGTGATTAATTTTTTCCAATTTTTCAAACAACTTTTTTGGTAATTTTATCTAAAATATCTGAAAATTTCAATGAACATAACTGTAACATAATTTACAGAATATAACTTACACGTGACTTTCCCATAACATTCCTCATAAAGAAACATATATGCATAACTTTCCCCAAAAATACGTGTTTTATCCGCGGGTCTGAAGCAACTCTCGAATGTTCATACGGCGCTCTTCGTTAAAATCGAAGGGAAGGTTCAAGGCCTTCCAGCCCTCCTATTTTTGCCCATGCACTTATCGCAAACTCATCTACTTGATAAATAAAAGGTTTTAAAAGAACAATTTTTTTCGCTCACTTGCGACAACTTTTTCCATTGGCAAACGCGTTTCGAGCAAAGTGCGGCTCATCTTCCATGCGACCGAACGGTGCGACATATTGTGGCGTCGCGTCGCACCGAAGATGAGGCGCTCTTTGCTCTAAACGCGTCTGCCAATGGAAAAAGTCGTCGCAAGTGAGTGAAACAAATTGTTTTTTTTTTTTAAAAAACACTTTTTTTTCGTGAAAACCTGTGCGGTTATTAGCTCCCTCATTTTATGTCATCATCTACGTGATGATTTATCGATTTGAATACTCTCTGATTACAGGTGACGATCGAGCAAGAGTCGGTGAGCAGCGACAACAACCGCAGTCCCTCGCCGACAGGGAAGCGGCCGAAGAAGGGCTCGAAAGGGAAGAAGAAGAAGAAGGAGAAGGAGAAAGAGCTGGCCAAATCGCAGAAAGAGATGAATAGACTATTATCAAGCTTAGACACGGAGAACTCGCTCTCGGACATCCAGGACCACTCCTCGGAGTCGGCGAAGAAAGACTCGGACAAGGAGGTGAAGACGGCGGCCATGCGACCCGAAGAAGTGCCGACCAAGATCGCCGTCGTGTCCACCAACAACAACTGTCGACCGGTCCAGGTCTCGCAATTCATCGAGGAGAAACAGCGTATCTCCTTGTCGAAGGAGCGCAAGGCGGCGCGCACGCTGGGCATCATCATGGGCGTTTTCGTCATATGCTGGCTCCCGTTCTTCCTCATGTACGTCGTTTTGCCGTTCTGCGCCTCGTGCTGCCCGTCGGACGCCTTCGTCGACGTCATCACCTGGCTCGGGTACATCAACTCCGCCCTTAACCCTATCATATACACCATATTCAATTTGGACTTCCGAAAGGCCTTCAAGAAGCTCCTTCATATCCCGGTTACGAACCGATGATCCGAGGGAGGCGTGTGAGGGGCCTCCGTCTACCAGCGGGCCGATTATTGAAACTGATAGACAAAGCTATAGACAAAAACGACAAAAGGGATTTGGAGGGATCCTATTGGTGGAAACGGGTGGTTGCAATGGACAAAGGAGGTAGGTAATAGACAAACTAACGGCAACCCACGAGAGACCCGACAGTTATTCTATCATTTCCCCCCTTAGTCTATGAGAACCAACTATGTCAACCAATAGGATCGCTCCATACTCCCTATGTCATCTTTGTCTATCGCTTTGTCTATCAGTTTCAATAATCGCCCCGCAGGAGCGGTAAACAGACTTCGTCGTTTCCGTCACGAAAGAACGTAACTCCATTTCAATGTTGCCAAACTTCTCCTCGCAAATTGCATGTAAACCAGGGGAATCTTGGACATTTCTAACTGAAAATGCATTCACTGAAAAAAAAAACTCCGGCCGTGGGAGCCGCAATTACGGGCTATATATGTAGACATACCGTCCGTTCCGGGCTCCAAGGCCGAAAATTCCGGCTGCTGGAGCCGTAGTTTCGGCCTCTCAACCCGAAGCAATCGAAGCTACGCCTCCAGCAGCCGGAATTTTCGGCCTTGGAGCCCGGAACGGACGGTATGTCTATATATAGCCCGTAATTGCGGCTCCCACGGCCGGAGTTTTTTTTCAGTGTTCGATTTCTCCTCAGGTTTCATGCAAAAATCAGAGAAATCTTGGATAGAACTTGCACAGGCACATTTTTATAAAGTAAAATAATTGTTTGAGTCAATTTGGTAGCCTTAGAATGAAGTTTTGTTCCTTTGTCCGGGAGCAGACGACTTCGGGCGAATTTCTGCGGGTGGATTTGGTCACATTTTTAGACAAGATCGGTAGAGTTGCAACCCAAAAGAGAGCTCTGCTCAGGTCAAGAACTAAACTCAGTTGCTGCATTAATTTTGCCTAATGTTTGAATTCATCGTATTGATTAGCGGGTCCAGCAAATTGGCAACATTGCTTTTACCCCATTTGAACTTATGGAAATGTATCGATTCTTGTGGAGGCCAGATGCCCTGACAAGAATCGATTAATTAACGTAGGTTTAAATGGAGGAAATCCGATGTTGCCAAATTGCTGGATCCGTCTCTGATCCTATTTTTGACCCACCTCTCGAGGTGGGTTGGGAATTTTGAATGTGGTGGTAACCACAGCCAGTATTCAAACCAAATGAATGTATTTATATCAAAGGGAACTACATTCATTGTGAAATAATCCCTGTCACGTATGCGTCATAAGATGCATAATGCATTCTGATTGATCTCAGGGCTCATGTCGAAAGGATGTATGTCCTTTTGATTTAAATGCGTCCAAATGTCGTAGACACACCGTCGCCTGGAAGGAATTTCGTTTTGTTGTAACGAGGATTGGCAGTAGGCTAAAAGTTTAGCCAAATCCACTCGTGGTAAGTCGACTTTTAGCAGAGAGGAATCAACTTAGGGCAAATTCATTACGTGTTTCAAACAGAACATCCAAAGAGTCGATTGTGATTAAGTCAAGCAAAATTGCTCTGCAAGTTATTGCTACCGACTATATAGTTACTGTTCAAACTCGATCTTTTTAAATGCTGGCATTTGAGCCGGTATAAAGTGACTGTGTCGTTTCCTAACTCCCGTTTTTCGTCATCAAAGTTTGAATGACCACCAAAAGGTTAATAATGGGGATTTTTTTGTTTTCCTTGCATCAGAAAATGCAGAACTAAAAGTTCTGGGATAATTATCTTATTTACATGAATATCCATGGTTTCATTTATTTCTTCCTTTAAAGGACCTTCGCTGGACCTCATCACATTATGTCTTCTTCAATTCTTCCAGTCCTCAAATTTCAACTGGCTAACTAAATACCACAACTTGAGAAGCAAATGTATCTTGAGTATATGCCTAAAGGAATTATTTATCATGAAATATTGACAAAAAATCTGAAAAAAAACACCATCTCAATCGCCCAGACACGCTTTTCTTCACTCACATTTTTATGAAAAAATACAAAAACTGCCATCGGTCAAAAATGTACATGACTTGTTAATGACTGCTCATGGCTGTGTCTTGAAGAAAACCTTTTTAATTCCTACTTCCGCGTAATTTATTCCTTGTCACGTGGCATACACATTTACATTTTTTGTTAGATTATCTACTGATTTTTTTTTGNGGGGGCGCGATGTAAAAATGGCGAATTCCTCGAGTTGGATTATATTCAGTGGCGTGGCGTGCTTTGCGATATATCGATTGATACGCCACTCAAACCCATGAAAAAAGATCGATTATCAGGGTGTTCGCGGCGAACACCTTAGTAACCGATTCTTTATCATAGCTTCAAATGGCAAGATATCGATAATCGATCATTCACGCCACGCCACTGATTATATTGACTTAGGAATATAGTTGAGAATATGACTCTGTAAGGCTCCTACGTTTCCCACCCATTTTGCACAATCACCACAGGTGAAGTCAACGACGGATATAAGTCCCATAAATATTCGCGATACTGCACTCGAAAACTAATTTAAAACGCATTGGAAGCATTCGACGATATCATCTTCGTTCATTTAAAAAACAAAAGCAGCCGAGAGTTGAACATATAAAAATGAAACGGACGAAGAGAACTAACTCGGAAGTTTACCCATCTTTTCGGAAAGAATTTGCCTCGAGTTTCGAGTATTCTCAACACCTGAGACTCTTCAGATGTTGCCGGTTTGTTAGATAAAACGCGTAAATAACTTCCATCCCGGTGCAAGAAATTTTGAGACTCATAGCGATCCACCGAGGTGTCCTATACCAATACTTACATGAGCCGCTACGATATGGATGACGAATTGACGAAGTTTTTCCAAGTCCCGATGGCTGTGCTATCATTGTGAAACTCAGGCCGTCTTTCGGTCAGAAGATTAATAAATGATCCTCCAGTTTGTTTTAGAGGTACTGGAGACAAGATTTTACACTTCAATTCTCTACCTAAGCCCTTTAACTGGACCACATCATGCAATTGAAAATTGAAATATCTGGCTCATCTGTAAAAACACTTGAGTGTGAGGGGAAACTAATATTACATACGTTGTTTCTAAACTGAAACGAAATAATTTCAGCTCCTTTTAAACTGAGACGAAATAATTGTAGTTCCTGATTGCAAAAAATTAGTCAAATTAGCTTTCAACTCTCGGCCTTTTTTCCCCCTGGATAGGTTAGGTTATCATCTCCTGATGTGGCGTGGCGTAAATGGTCGATTATCGATCATCTCAATTTGAAGCTGTGGTGAAGAATCGAGTATTAAGGTGCGAACACATTGTTCATCGATCCTCATCCATTGGGTTAAATGGTATGGATCAATCGATAAATCGCGAAGCACTCCATGCCACTGGCCGTCTACCGACAAATTTGTGTAATTCAAGCTCTACGCGCAAGCAACAAGCAAAATTTCACAACGAATTGAAGGGCTTGGAGGACAAGGCGCGTAATTGCAGTTTTTGAAAAAATCGAGATATTAATCATTTCAAGGAAAACCTAGTCTTGGTGTATATTCTGTGAAAAGTTGGCTCCAATATTCTAATTTGTAAGCATCAAAAAGTCAGTTTGAACTTCCTTATTGCCATGAGGATCCGTGTAATTTCAAAACTTCAAACGTGTATTTCTCAAAATGGCAAAAACTGCACTCATGCGCCTTGTCCTCCGAGCCGCTCAATTTTGGCTCAATCTCTGGGTTTTTCGCAAGATGGGTTGTGAGCAGACGTGGGATTCCGGGAAGTTTGTTGAGCTCATTGCGTCACTGAAAGTTGCAGGCGCTGAAGCGTCGCAAAAAAGTTACGCACACACCCCCGACAGTCTTACAAAATGAAATCATATCGACGAGGATATTGCATAAGCTTATTTTCCAGGCGTTCGCCCTCACCTCGGTGTTGATGACGCACTCCCGGCTGTGGAATACAGTGTTGTCAGGTGGGATTCAACTATCTTCGATTAGCTTCTTATTTCCTTTCAAAGTTGTATCACGTTATTAGCCGTCGAAACCTTTATCATCTACGCTTATTCAAACTCTAAGTTGTTGTTCCTCTCTGCTATTTCTTTTTACTTTTGCAGACTGACTTTTCCTCTTTTTAAGCAACCTAACTATACTTTTTCAATAAAGATAGCATCACCTAATAACTCTCGAGGGCTCTGTTTTACAACTTATTTCAGTCTAAGTTCCACAGAGTGACGAGGCGCGAATGATCCATAATCGATATTTTCCCATTTGAAACTATGGTGAAGAATCGATTATTAGAGTGTGTGTACCCTGTTTATCGACCTTTTCCCATAGGTTTACATGACGGATCAATCGATCTATCAAAAAGTACTCCACGCGACTGCACACAATCCCGTTAACTATTTTGCTGATTAAACTTAAGGGTCGAAACTTAAAGGACGTGCTCAGTTCACAGAGAGACTACTTTTGCACCGCAAACGAGAGATCATTATCACCAATGGTGTTTTGCTGTGACCTATTGCTGTGGCAAATGAAGCTAGAGCTGATACTTACAACTTTTGTTTATCAAATAAAAATAAAAATACACTAAAAATGGAATTGACAAGGTTATTCCTCTGCAAAACAGCCGCTCTCACTGATTTTTTGAGAATGACACTACCGTGTTAAGGAAGAACACCGTGTATCCAGAGTTGCCAAATTTCCTTCGAAAAAATGTTTATTTTTTAAGGAAATTGTGATTATTTTTCCTTTAAATTTTCAGACACTTTAGATTAATTTACAAACAAAATTATCTGAGAAATTGGCAGAGATATATTCAAAAATTTTCCTGAAAATTAGTGATTTGAAAGAGGAAATTTGGCGACGCCTGAAAGCTCATACGGCGTTTTTCCTTAGCACGGCAGTACAGGGATATGCCTATATTTTTGTGCCGTTAGTACCCCGCTGTCCATCTGTGCTCTGTTTAGTAGCTAGCACAGATTCCTACCGCGTCATTTGCAGCTTGATGTCCTGTTTTAGTTTTTTATTTTCGTCTTTTTTCAACCCGAAAATGAGCAGTAACTGGTTCTTAGGCCCTCTGGTCTTCTTTCATTTTTAGTCTTGCTAATCCCATTTTTAGTGTATTCTTCTTTGCGTTTTTTGTTGATAATTTTGGGCTAGTCTGTAGTGTTGTTTTATTATGACGTTGATTATGTTTTTAAATAATGATAACTATTTCAAACCCTACTTAAACTTTCTCTCCCGCTACATTCCCAAATACTACTTATAAGTAGTATTTTATACCTTCGATATAATGGTTAAAGTTCGTTGCCCTGGGTAATGCCCAACCATTTATATATTGGTCTGAAGAGACCGTTACGTGATTGCGTTTTGAATACCTGTGATCAATTCGAATTATTGGATTCCCTTTTTATA